ATATATATATATATATATATATATATATATATATATATATATATAAAGGACGTGAGGACCAGGACCTGGAGAACCCTGGCCCTTGTATACTTTCCCCAGAATGTCCACCCTACACATAGCTTCTGTTATTACTGGCCCCCAAGTCAACATGGTAATGAGACGAAAAAGAAACACCAAACACAGTGTAACAAAAACATCAACATTTAATATCCAAACATTTGACACTAGGCTGATTTCCCCGTATGACATCATTTTCTACTATAAGCCGAGACAGAGATATAAACAGCCCATGGAATGGGGAGCAGTGGTAACATTGTTAGAAAAGAGGGGAGTAGAACAACAGCAAACCATCCTCCCCAGTCACCTCCCCACAGAGGAAGACTAGTTTTCTCCATCCTGCCAGACCATGCAGTATGTGGTCAGTTGTGGGGTAACCAGAAAAGAATCCTAAAAATATTGTAGATCTTTATATCTCCCTAGTAGAAACATTAAACCGTCTTTCAAGAAGGTTCCAAACTGACATTGCATAGACCAATTCATTTCCAAAAATATCTCTAATATATTCTACCTCTGTATATAGAATCTGAAGTCCAGGTGCTCTGGGCACCCGTGGGAATCACTGAGCTCAAGAGGAAAGGCTCTTAACCTCTGGCTCCTGCCAGTGTTCATTTGGTTACGGCCATGTTTTCTGCCCAGTCCTTGGAACAGGAGAATGTGGCAGGCTCTTGTCTACTTCTGGAGTGACCATCTAGGTCAGACCCTGGCTTGGGTTGGGCAGGGATTCTTAGTTTGAAGGAGTCTTCCTGACAGTACCAACTGCTTTGTGTTTGGAGACCTGGAATTTTGAACCAGACCAAAATAATGCTCAGACTGGGCAAGTCACAGACAAGAACAGTGCTCTCTCCATCTTATGGGGGTCATCTCACCCAGAAACAGAGCAGTCAGCGTCCCTTAAAGTGCCAGGTACCTGCCTGCTGAGCAGGAAGGGACTCTCCGAGCTGACAGAACCTTCTCTAGCCATGTTCTGTCCTGCCTTGGCAGCATCTTCTAACATTCATTTTTAAAAAAGTCATCAGGTGATTAAAATAATGGCAACAAAATCCCTAGAAATGCTCTGGTCCCAACCTCAGCAAGTTCCAAGACCACAGCTCCAACTTTTGCCAGCTGAGAAAGACAAAAACTGGGCAAGGAACCTCCCGACCTGGGGAGTCCAGCCATCCTTACCCACAGAACCAGTGTCCCATACACCCCTGTCTCCAGCTCTGCTGGGGTACAGGTGGAATGGGGAACAGAGGCACCTATCCCCACCCTTGCTAGGGGTGGAGGGGATACAGAACTGTGAACTCAGGAGGAAAAGGAAAACACCTAAAGGGCAAAGGAAACACCAGCCTGCTGGGTTGATACAAAAATGAGTGAAACTTAAAGGGTGGAGTTTATCCATGGTGGAACTGGCAGCCAGTGCCCTCTTTCAAGCAAACTACAGGACAGACGGAAAGTGCTGGGGGTCAGGGAGGTACCAAGAAGGTGGGCAGTGAGGAGAAGGCCTGGACAGGGCACAAGGCTAGTCTCCCCAGGGAAAGCATGCCCCTTGCCCAGAGGAGGGCTGAGGCTTGTCTGGCAGTCCATCCAGTTACAGCCCACCTGGCTGACTGCCTTTCTAGCTTGGAACCCAGCCCAGATCTGTTGACATGAGAGCAGAGGAAAAGGCCTTTGCTTACCCAGCACAGCTGGACCTCACCCTTCCTTTCCTGCAGGAAGGCCAGCTGCTCAGGACCCAGCCCTGAGCAGATGGCACCATGATGCTCAGACCTTTCTAGGCTCTGGTCAGGTCTGAGCTGAGGATAAATTAGAGGGAAAGGACAGTGCCACGTTCCAGCCGGGCTACTGTATCCTAGGTCTAGTTGCACAGCAGACAGCACCCAGGAGTCCTGGAGAAGAGCAAGGGCCAGTGGCTGTGCTGAGGACAAGCATGTGCAAAATGCAGGCTGCAGAGCAGCAGGAGATCATTTGATGACAAAGGTGGGGTCTCAATCCGGAATGCAGGGTCTGAGGTCTTGGCTCCCAGGAGAAAGCTGCCAGCAGGTTTATCTCCTCAGGATAAAGAGACAGGACGGTAAAGCACTAAGCAGAGGGTCATAGGTGGCAATACTCTGGAGATGGTCCAGCTTCTGAAGGGCAAGGGCAATGGAGCAAGGGCCCTGTCAGCCTGGCTGAAGCTGTTGCTCCTAAAGTGGGTCATGGGAAGGTGGGGTAAGCCACAAGCACCCCAACATGAAGGAGCTACGTGTCTTTCGCTGGGCCCAGATCCTATCCAGTTAGGACAGTCCCTGCTAATTCCATCTTGCTCCATTTTCTAGTGGTTCTGAGGACAATATTCATAGTGGCACCCAGGACCAGTGGTTCCAGAGTGGATGGGAGGACAATGGAATGATGCTTTGGGGGCTGGTGTGACTAGAGTAGCAGGAGGCACAGATGCAATGCAGAGCAGATCCAAAGGGCAGGTTCCTGCTCCTCCAGGAATGCCACTGGCCTAGGTGCCAGAGATGGAGGACCCTTCTTCAGCTGGACACCTGGTCCCTCAGTGGCTTTCAATCACGACTGGCTCATAGACTCCAGAGGAGACTCTGTAGGGTAGAGAAAAGTGACCTTTAATGCCCCAGTTACTGAGCATCCCCCTGGGCCAGGCCCTTGTGGGTACTTCACATGCAAGCACTCTGACAGTCTCTTATAGATTGGCTGAAACTGAGGCCCCAGAAATGTTTAGTCATTTGTTCAGGGTGAAAGAAACAGCAGAGTCGGTGGGGTCCACAGCTATGCCTGATCCCCTCTGGACATCAGCTGTGTACACAGCTGGGTGTACTATTCCTATCCTCATGGTATCCCTGGGAAGGACAGACTGTGCCCTGTGTCATCTGACAAATTAAAAAACAGGTAAGATTCATTAAGACGTAAGACTAAGTTTTTGTTGTTGTTGTTTTGTTTTTGTTTTTCATTGGAGACAGGGTTTCTCTGTGTAGCCTTGGCTGTCCTGGACTTGCTTTGTAGACAAGACTGGCCTCGAACTCACAAGAGATCCACCTGCCTCTGCCTCCCCCAGTGCTGGGATCACAGGCATGTGCTATTACCCCTAGCTGACTCTAAGATTTATTAAGACTGTAAGATTATTAAGAAGGCATCTACTCTTCACTGTTTTGATCTTACAAAAACCAGATTAGTTTCCCTCTTCCAATCTCTAATTCTCAGCATATCACTTTGCAAGTGGTGTAAGGAAAGTCTTTATCACACAGGGCAGCCCAGAATGACTGCTGGCTGTAATTTCTAGCCTCGCCAACAGGGGTCAGCAGAGCGGCACAAGATACCCCCACCCCCACCCCGCCCCCAATCCAAAAGTTTTTTGGGCTCTGGATCCAGAGGTTCAAAGAACATGTTCTTAGCTCCCAGGAACACAAGGAAGAGCCCCAGGACACCTCTCTATGCTGGACATTACTCTCACTGGCTCAAAGACCCGGCGAACCAGAAATACTGCCACTTACTCTGTACAAAGGCCTGTGGGAAGGCACTCTGAAGACAGTTAGCAAAGGGCTCTGATGATGGGTAGGCCCAAGGTCACTTGAGACAAGAAGAATGTTCAAAGACAGGTCAGGGGACCTGGTAGGCAACACCCACCTGTTGGCCAGCTGAATGCCACTCAGTGTGGTGGAGCCATCACGGCTCACAAATAACCGAAGGTTACTGTCTGTGGGGACACAAAGGAGGACACAGGTTGAGAGAAACAAGGCTAGCCTCTGGAGGCTATTGTCACCATAGCTGGCTGGGAGTGGGCAGCTCA